GTATCCTCCGCCATGAGGAGCCCAGCTCTACGATGCAGGAGGAGACCCAAGTGCAAGACGTGGTGAGGTCACCTTGGACCCCCAAACCTGGACAAGCCAGCAGACCCATGCAGCTGTACTCAGCCCAATGGACACACAAGCACAAGCGCGCACTCACGAACACACGCATGGCAGCTGAGGTGAGGGGCAGTTGGTCAGGCAGCCACAGACGACTGTAGTGAACCTGGGTGTCCAACAGGAAACTGGCCAGACAAGCTCATGGGTCCTCTCTATGAGGTAACACTGTGCAGCCACTCCCAACACCTGCAGGTGTGGAATGCTTGCCAACATGAATGAATGAAAAAGTTCGAGACCTCAAAACCTAGACCTACAATGATAGTGGCATAGCATTCAAACATAGGCACTTTGGGATGAGCAAAATGAGGTCCAGAGAGGTTGAGCAGTTAGTCCAAGGCCACACAGCTAGTGAGTGGCTGGGCTGTGGACTGAGGCCAGGATGTCTGGTAGCTCCGACACGTGACGCTGTACAACCACTCGTCATAGCATGGTCAACTCCCGTTCCTCCATTTTCCTTATTCTACACACAGTCCATTCCCCCTTGTTCGGCACAGTCACCTGACACCTGCTGTTGTTAGGTGCCATGTCAAGCTGGTTCCCATGCTCTGCAACCCCGTCCGACTGGCGACCTGCCCGGTCCTGTGCCACCTCCAGCCCCTTGCTATGCGTGAGCCCAGGACTGCCACCATTGTATCAGCCCATCTCATCAAGGGCCTTCCTCTTTTCACTGGCCCTCTACTCACCTCGACCTTTCTAAGCTTGGTGTCCTTTTCTAGCGACTGGTCCCTCCGGATAACAAGGTCAAAGCATGCGAGACAAAGCCCCACCATCCGCCCTCGTGAGGGGCACTCAGCTATACTTCTTCCGAGATGGATCTGTTCATCCTTCTGACAGCCCACGGTACGTCAACATTCTTCGCCAGCAATTCAAAGGCATTAGTTCTTCTTCGGCCTTCTCGATTCACTGTCCGACTATCATGTGTATATGAGGCAACTGCCAAGACCATGACTTGGGTTTGGTGCCTCAGTCCTCAAAGTGGCATCTTTGCTTCTTAACACTTCAAAGAGGTCTTTTCCAGCAGATTTGTCCAATTTAACATGTGGTTTGATTTTCTGACTGCTGCTTCCATGGGCGCTGACAGTAGACGCAAGTAAGATACAATCCCTGACAGCCTGCGTGTGCTCTCTTTCCACTGTGATGCTGCTTATTGGCCCAGATGTGAGGATTTTTGTTTTGTGTTCAGGCACAATCCCTACTGAAAGCTGGAGTATCTACGTTTCAAAACTGACTTCCTGGAAACAACCCGTGCATCCAACAGATGAATGGATGAACAAAATGTGGTCCATATGCACAACAGAACATTATTCAGCCTTAAAGAGACAGCCAATGGTGACACACACTAGGACATGGAAGAAGCCGCAAGCATCACACTGGGGTGAGTTAGTCACCAACGGACAAGCAGCGTATGATCCGTTTATACCAAGTATCT